CATTTTCTAGGGCTCCCTCACTTGGTCGTCTCCCCGGATGATGTTTGTAATGCAGGAAGAAATCAGAGGAGGGTTACCTCGAAGCTGTCACTCACCTGTTGTGTTCGGATTGCTCACAGTGTCAGCATGACGGTATTATAGATAGAAAAGCTGGCCGTGGGGCCCGAAGCTCCCTCGATAGCAAATAGATCATTAGATTTCCATCCTTGGAATGGAAGCATTTAATCAGTTGACTACTGTTTTGGGGAAAATATGCCTTAGGTCACATTCCTCCATGTTCTTCGGGGAGAAAATTAATGCATACGTAAATCCTAACAGCTATGTGTCTCCCTTTGGAGAAACGTCCACCTTCACACTTCTCCCTGCAAGATCCAAAGGAACCAAGTAAGGTGGAGGTGGTCAGGTTCCGATCGGCCTTCTTCAGGGGGAATGTGACAAAGATCAAATAGGAGGTTCCTTCCAGCTGCTTGGAGCAGACAGGCCCTTCTCTGAGAGTGTCTCCTTTGTCCTCGGTCCCCAACGTTAGCAGACAATTCCAACAGAGACCAAGGACCGTTTGGACACTCCCAGTAAAGCGCAGCACCTACATTTTTGTGGACATTGTATTTGATGTGAAACGACGAGTTTTTTCATTCCGTGGTTGTGAACGTCTACATATGCAGGTGCCGCTTTACCAGTGCAGATTCGTAATGGCTAAGGCGGCATCCACAAAGCCTGCACTGTCAAGAGACAGAGGAGAGAAGGTTACAGGGTCAGTGCTGGCTGAAGAAAAGCCCGCTGAAGCAAAAGGGCAGACTGCCCTGAGAAAGGGTCGTCAGGAAGGTCCCTGCCCACGCCACGCCGTGCGTACTTCAGGAGCCACAGGAGGAAAAGCCTTGGGAGAACGGGAGAAGCTACCAGCTTTGTCTCTTGGTCGCCCCAAATTTCCATCTTCTTGTACCCCACAACAGCCAACAAATAAGAAATCAGATGGGTAGCCATCCCTAACTTTGATTCTAAGATGAAGACGTACCAAGGCGTTATCAAACCAGAACGGACAGCAGGAAAATTGGGGGTGGAGGAGTGTACCTCCAAAATGGCATGCTGAATGGTAACTCCTTAAAGATTTTCTTAAAAAGAACAAATAACAGCAGTAGTGAAACCCTCAAGATGCTGCTGTTGGAGATTTGGTGGCCCGGTCTCTCCTCTCAGAGCTACGCCAGACTAGCTATCTGCTGCTTAATCGGCAGCCGTAAGCTCACCGTTTATAGAACATCGCTTAGGGCCCATATGGCCCATGGGCCCTTTAGGAGAGACCTTTATTATGCAATTGTTGTGCATCAGTGTGTGTGTTAAGATGATCAGCTATTTTTAGGATAGGATTCTTTGACTGGTTTCACAGATATTTGCACTTTTCTACCTTGTGCTAGGTACATATTCTGCACTGAGAATTCACAGGTAAATCAGATTTCCCGAGATCAGAGTCCTAAGAAGCAGTTAAAATGGTTGAAACTTAGAAGACAGAAGCAGATGAGTAGTGCTGTAAATCCTTACGAAATCTCATCATCCCCAAAAGTCAATGTACTTTTCATTTAAAAGATGCGTTTAGCTGGGCACCAGTGGCTCACGCCTGTAATCCCAGGTACTCAGGAGACAGGCTTAGAGGCTTATGGTTCAAAGCCAGCCTAAACAGAAAAGTCTGCAAGACTCCAGCCAGCAAAATGCCAGACTGGAGTGTGACTTGAGTCACACCAATGGGCCAATCACGAGGCCTCTAAGTTCACATCCGGTGCTGGCAACTAGAAGAAGGAAAACAGATGCTGTTAGCAAGGCCTCAGAGTGACTTCACACCCGTGTCTGCTATGCTTTCCAAGCAGCCCTGAGATCAGCCCCTCAGTAGCGCCCGGTCGTGGGGGGTATGCGCGGAAAGCCGTACCCGGCCTGGGACCCCCAGCAGTAGCCCCTGCCCTTCCTGTGTACCACGAAGCCTGCTGGCTGCGCCCTGCCCGCCACTCGCGAGCGCTCAGCACCCTCGCGTGGAGATGATCTGTCCAGAGGGCGTCCGCAGACAGCCAGGTTGTTTTGTCCTGGAATGTTCTTCGGTTAACGACCCGAGGAGAGGAGGTGGAGCCGAGGTGCCCATCCTGGGATGGCAAGCGTGGCAAGCCACACAGAAGCGAGCAGTAGTGGGGTGAGCTCCATCTGCGCTCAGTTCCGGGCTCTGTCTTCCTCAGTAACGGCCCGTGACGCGGGAGAACCAAGCCTGGACACCCCTGGTCAGGGTCGGTCTCAGCACAGGCGTGGTAGAAGAGCCGCGGAGCCGGGCAGGATGCTGGCCTGCCGGATGCCCTGGGTTTTAATTACAGCGCCGCAGGTTGGGGCTGCCGGCTGACCCCTCCAGCAGTGCAGTGGGGGGTGTAGAGAATTTTACACTGTTTTTAACACTTGGACTGCTCTCTCTGGCCTGGCACTCTGTGGTTTAGCTACTGTTTACTGTTTGACTGCCTCTGTGAGGCTGGGAGCTATTTTTATCAACACCATCTCTATGGGCCTTAGAGACAAGCACACAAAAACTCAATCAATTGCTAAGGTCAGATGCTAGGTAAGAGATCCAGCTTGATACCGTAGTCAAGAGGAAAAACGTCAGATGCAGACAGTCCTAGGTTTTAGGTTTGGGTCTCTTATGTCCAAATTGGGTGGCACTGGACAAGTCCCCTAACCTCTCTGCGCCTCTACTCCTGATCATGCAAAGAGCCTGTTAGAGTCCACCTTCAGACGATTGAAAAGAAGATGTGAAACAATGCAGCCCAGTGGCCTGAATGACTGTTCAATGAGTATTTACTTATTAAAATTCTGTAACTCCTCCAATCTTTGATTTCCTCATTCTAAGGTGATTTACTGAACTGGAACTTAAATAATCTGGGGGTGGGGATATCAGCAGAGTGATAACAGAAATACTGAGTGAATGATCTTAATAATAGTCAAGAGATGGAAGCCGAACACTTTTTAAATAGCTCCTAAGCAGAGAAGCTGGAAGCTGAAGAGGGGCTAATGCTGTCAGTGCAGCAAAGACGGATCCTTGGGCTTTCCCTCTTTAGAGGCGGCAGAAAGACAGCGATGGAAGGCCTGTCAGAAAGCCCAGAGCTAGAACATCGTTGAAAAAGGAGCATTGTAGGGAGCCTGAGGGACAGTAAGTCGACAGGAAGGGACGAAAGACAAAACTGGAGATGCAAGGCAGGGCAGGCCCGGGGCACCTGCTAAGTGTATGAAGAGAGTCCTAACCTGAGTGGGAGCAGGAAGCCTTTACGTGACCCGAAGACACTGCTCCTGGGGACTTAGATTCATGTGAGGGATGGAGTCAGCCGTGGAAAGCTGCTTGTTCTCGTTTAGCACTTGCCTATTTTTACTGTTTCTTTTCCTCTTAAAGCTGACAGGTGAGAGGTGGCTGAGTGATATGTGCTGTGATCCCCATAAGAGAAACCCAGTCTTGCTCCAGTGAAATCAGAGCTGACGATACTGAGACGTTACCGGGACAAAGTCTACTTTTTTTTTTTCTTGTCACATCACCGTTCTCCTTACTGGTCATGGGGGTAACTTGGCGGAACTGGAAACCTTGATGCAAGTGAGAGCGTTTAATGAAAGTAAGAGTGAACAAACAAGGGAGAAGGAAGATTGTGTTTGTGCCAGGAAAGGACACGGCATTTCACTTGCGCAGGGTAGAAACGACCAGGTCCGGATGTTCCTTTTGGACAGATTGGCCACGTAAGCCTTGCGGTCCCTTGGGATGGCTAAGTAAGGAAGAGTAGAGAAAAGCTGGGGGTCGACTTACCCTCCGTTCCTGGTAGAATATTAATTCACCTCACCTTGCACAACCCTGTATACCCAGAATGTTCTAGCCGAGTGTCTCAGTGAGCATACGTTGAATTCACACAAAAAGTAGTGTATATTAGCTGTGCAAAGATGAACATTGTTTCAAACAGAATCTAGATGAAACAAAGAAAAGAGGTATGAAAGTAGGAGGGGGTTACAGGCACCTCTGTTGCTCTTCCTGGCACAGCGGGTACAGTGCCGCTGGTCAGCAAATGCTTCCGCCTTAGCCCCCGGGCTACCTGTGTTACAAAGTGTGGATTCAAGTACAGGAAAGCTTCAGAAGTCAGAGGCAGCTGGTGCAAGGTCAAGTGAAGGTCGTTCAGGCAGCTTGGGCCGGAAGACGGAATGTGACCACGGGAGCCACGCATTCCATGGGCGACTTTGTCCAACTTTACTTGTTTGTGAAAATTCCCACTTGTGTCCTGTTGGGGGTGTTTATGGTTTTGTTTGTTTTTTACTAGTGGAGTGTGTTGATGGGAGACCTGTAAAACTATGTCTCTTTGGTTTTGGATGAACACTCGAGCACTTTGAGGATGACTCTTGCATTGCGCGCCACTGAGCTTCCATGACCCCGCCTGGCCTCAAGTCGTCGGAGTCTTTGCGTGTTTCTCCTGTTTCCAGTGTCCTTCAAGAAGATTACATCATTCTTGTGTATTTAGGATCTAGGGTGGAAGTCCATGTGGGAGCAGATTTCATTCTGTTTGGAGATTCCAAGGAACCCACATGTTAGGAGCAGAGAAATACTAGAGGCTTTTCTGTCTTATTTAAAACGAAGACCATGAATTGTGACTGGCTGTAAGCAAAGGATCCTGTTGCATTTACAATTCGGTCAGTTTGGTAATGGAGAGCGGCGTGTCAGCGCTGTAGTTACACACAGCACGCTTCTGCTCTTGCCTCTTTAGATACCTTCGGCGTGTGGCTCGCTGCCTTTCCCTGTACCCCTCCCTGTTTCTGGGAAGTAGCACACATCTCTGTGGACATCTGAATCTGTCCACATCTCCAGTAGAAGGATTTTTTATTTTATAGGCACATCACAGATACAGTGTGAGGATGTGACCATTTCTACTTTATTTCCTCCCACACCCCAGGATGAGCCCAGCATTTCAGGGACAAGCAGGCAGGACGAAGAGATGCATGAGTTAATGCTAGGAATGAAGTTCCAACTGATTCTCTTTGGTGACCTAATGGCCGCTGTTTTCAATGTCTGAAATCCAAAACTAGTGTCAGGAGGGGATGGACTGGCAGGGGCATGTTTTCTCGCAGCCTCTGGAGGCTAGACAGAGTGCACAAAATAGTACGGTCGAGGCGTTCCTCCATTCTAGGACCATCAGCAAGAGAAGTCGTGTTTGAATTCAAGGCTACCTGCCTGTGGGCAGTTAGTCGCCCGCCGGCGTCACAGCTCCGGCTTCTTCTTTTGCTTTAGGTTATTTTCCTGTTTGTCTGGGATCTTCTTTGGACTCGGTATAAATAGTGTTGCTCTAAACGTGTATGCAGGCATCTGTCTATCCGCTAATACACCCCAGAGTGCGTCCTGACTCGTGGCAGGTGCTGTCTGGAGTACACTCGTGCTGACAAGCAACGCTCCTCCAGCCAGGCAGGCCTGGGCCTGGCTGTTGGGGGCAGCCGGCTGGTTCAGGCAGAAAGCTGGGCAGGGAGAGGCTGGGCCTGGCTGTTGGGGGCAGCCGGCTGGTTCAGGAGGAGAGCCGGGCAGGGAGAGGCCGGGCCTGGCTGTTGGGGGCAGCTGGCTGGTTCAGGTGGAGAGCCGGGCAAGGAGAGGCTGGGCCTGGCTGTTGGGGGCAGCCGGCCTGGTTCAGGCAGAGAGCCAGACAGGGAGGGGCCGGGCCTGGCTGTTGGGGGCAGCCGGCTGGTTCAGGCGGAGAGCCGGGCAGGGAGAGGCTGGGCCTGGCTGTTGGGGGCAGCCGGCTGGTTCAGGTGGAGAGCCGGGCAGGGAGAGGCTGGGCCTGGCTGTTGGGGGCAGCCGGCCTGGTTCAGGCGGAGAGCCGGGCAGGGAGAGGCTGTGCCTGGCTGTTGGGGGCAGCCGGCTGGTTCAGGTGGAGAGGCTGTGCCTGCAGGAGGGCGGTGGGTGCGGCCCTCACCACTCACGCGGTGTGTTTCCTGGCAGGAGGACGAGGTGGTACTCCAGTGCATCGCAAACATCCACAAGGAGCAAAGGAAGTTCTGCCTGGCAGCCGAGGGACTCGGGAACCGCCTGTGCTTCCTGGAACCCACCTCCGAGGCCAAGGTAAGATTTTCTGTCTGAACCTTCTGTTGTTCTTGAGGAAGAAGGGCCGCTGGGCAGCGGCGATGGAGAATCAGCAAGAGACGGAGGTGTCTTTCCGGTGATGTATCACCTGACCAGCAGTTGGATACCCTGAGTTAAAACCCAATACCACCAAAAAATCAAAGCAATACTAACAGTTAATGAGTTAATTATAGTACTATTAAGTTAATAATAGTGCTAAGTACGGTATTGTTAACCCTTTTGACTTTTGAGCCTCATTTTTGTGAACTACGGGATAATTGCACATCAGCCCTGAGCTTATAAAACCTTGAGGTTTAACTTTAAAATCTTAGATTATAGACTGATTCAGTTATAAAACTACCTAGTTCTAGAAATGCAACTCTATTTATAATAGTCTAACCTAAAGCAGGTTAGGAATAAAAACCGTACGTATTGTTACCTTGTATGCTCCCCATATAAAAATAAGCCGTACCACTCACGAACGCATTCAGATGATAAATAGCCTTCCTGACTCCCACTTCACTAAATCATTGTTTCAGTTCTTCACTACTAAATAAGACGATGACTGAGGAATCTTTGAAAGGGAACCGCGCATCATGGAGAATCTTACCGCTGTGTCGCAGCTTTGCTGTTCCAGGGTGTTTTTGCATGTAACGATACTTGGACATTAAGATTTTAGTCTCTAATGTTTCATCGAGTTCCTTCTTGAAATCCTAGTTACTCAGGAGACTAAGATCTGAGGATCATGGTTCAAACCCAGCCCGGGCAGGAAAGTAAGACTCATCTCCCATAGACCACTAGAAAACCGGAAGTGGTGCTGTGGCTCAAGTGGTAGAGCGCTCACCTTGAGCTGAAGAGCTGAGGGACAGCGCCCAGGCCCAGAGTTCAAGACTCATGATATACACACACACACAAAAAGCAAATCCTTCTAATTCTCAGCCATCAAATTTCAGAACCAATTGTGCTGTTCTTAGGTTCTTGGAACCTACCGTAAGTTATGCAGTGAGGTGAGCCTGCCACTGAACACAAGGCACACACATCAAGTGGCATTCCTATTAGCCACCCCAGAGCTGATCAGTGACCCCAGGCATTCAGGAAAAATTGAGATGAACTCTAAGGAGAAGAATGATCTCAGAGAAAAGGAAGTTGCAATAGGGTATTCAAAAGATGTTAGCATTTGAGTTGTGAAGTAGAACAAGCAAGTAAGCAAGGAACAGATTAAAAAAAGGAGGAAAAGTGTAAAATCATCAACTCTCTCTAAAGATGGGGAGACTGTCTAGCACTCAGCAGAGCACTTGTGACTGTGACTCCTGTGTGCTATGACCCAGGGTTTCTTGAAATTCTAGAAACTTCTGTCCTTGGCAATGGAAGCAGGAACATTCTGCCTCCTCTTCAACTAAGCACAGGAAAATTTTATAGGAAAATTCAGAGCTGAAGCCAAACAGCAGGAAGTACAGGGAGGAAATGTTTCTTTTGTATTTTCTGAGTAGTAGCATCTGGTTTACTTCATTTTTTAAATTAAAAAAAAATGTATTCTTGGGCACCAGGAATTTAATGGTTTTCCTCGGGCTCTTCATCTGTCATATCTATTCAGATGGCCACTTGGAGGGGTCATCTTTGGTGCAGGTAACATCTAGATTCCTAAGACTGTCGTATACCACATCATCTTTTCTGCAGGCCACAGGATAGGAACCACGGCTTGCTAGCTAGGCAGTGTCAGACAGGGCTCTTCTGTGGCTGACTTCTGAATCCTCCATGCCCAGAGAGAGCTCTACGATGGGCCGGCGTGAGTTCACCATGGCCTCAAAGCCTCCTGTGCCAGAGGAGACAGGACGCTGTGCCCAGCCCCAGGGCAGCCCTACCTTGCCGGACAGCCCAGCTGCAAGTGTTCATGCTCAAGCAGCTGCCAGGAGGGGCTTCCTGTAAGCCATCGCTCATCTTCCCAGTCCCCATGCAGGCTGCTCAGTTAGGGATCCCTTCATCCCACGTAATGTTCCCTCCGAACATACTTCACATAATTATTCAGTTTCTCAAAGAACACAACTGTAGAGTTAACCGAGGGTCAGCTGATCATGCAGACAGAGAAAAGTAGTTCACTAATTGCATTGATGACACTTGCTCAGCTAGCGTGGTCTAATCAGATACGTCCAGAACCCATACCTTTCCAAATCCCAATTTACACTCCTTTATGACACCCTGTTCATAATCTGTGATGGTGAAGAAGATTGTGGGAACTTTAGTTCATGGATTTCAGTGTTGAGTGAACTGAAATGGGTGGGGTGAAATGGCTGCCCTAGGAAGGATTCTTCCAAGGTCAGTGCAGGTCTAACGTCCTCGGGCTCTAGTTATCTAAGAGTGAAGTTCACATCCTTTGGGGGAAAAGGCTGTCTTACTCATGGCTCATTTGAGCTCATCTTGGCCAGTTCAAACTGAAAGGTCCAATTATAACCTCCATTTCTTAGAGAAGTTTCAGGAGAAATCTTATGTTTTCACCTCCAGTTTTGAAAACGAAGGATAAAACAGAATGGAATGGAATATTATCACTTCTGAAGTTGAATAGGCTCTCATTACCTAAGATTAAACATGATTTAGTAGGAAAACATCATTATGTAGATGACAGAACTTAAGATACTAGCCAGACACAGGTGGCTAATGCCTGTAATCCTAGTTACTCAGGAGGTTAAGATCTAGGGATTGTTGGTCAAAGCCAGCAAGAGCAGATTAGTCCCCATGAGACTCTTATCTCCAGTTAACCACTCAAAAATGGGATGTGGTGTTGTGGCTGAAGTGGTAGAGCACTTGAACACAAAGAGGCTCAGGGACAGCTCCCAGGCCCTGAGTTCAAAGCCCCATAACCAACCAAAAATAAAAATAAGGTAAGATACTATTTTCAACTAAAAATAGCATCATTTTATCATTATTTTCTGAGATTTCTTATTCTTAAGTAAAGTCTGTGAAAATTTGCAGACAGAGTCTCAGCAGGACATTGTACACTGTTCTTTGAATTTATATATGTTATATTTTCAGTGAGCCCGAGATCCTATGAAAGTCTAAACTATTATAATCATCATTTTAAAATATGAAGAGACTAGTACATTTATAATTTGATTTTTTTATTTATCAGGCATCTTATGCTATATTCTGAGCACTACAGTAAAAATTAATATTTAGTGTTTTACACTGACAAAGCAAACACTGTCCTCACAGACATAAAAGCTTAAGAATTTCAAGTTAAGTGACCGCCTGAAGATGAGTCATCCTAAACTTAAATTGCTGCTCTCCACTGCACTTAGATACAGAGTATCAGAAACCAATTTACAAGGCCGAGGAGGCCATTTTGTTCTGTTCTGTGTAGCTCTACCTTAAGCATATCTGGGCACACCTCCTCCCTCTCTCCACGAGATTTCTCCATCCTATGATGCCTGACATTCTCAAGTTAGAAATACGGAGTTTGCATAAATCAAAGAGGAACTCTTAAACTGTAAATGTGTGAGCAAACACATGAAGCAGTGTTAAGCTTACACAGCAAATTAGATGCTCATGCATTTTATTCAAAGTAGGTTTACACAGGGGTCAAGGCAGATCACTGAATGCCTCTCTACCTGGATGCAAGGGTATCTGTAGGGCTGCTGGGATGGGAGCGGCAGAGCCCCACACCTGCACTGAATGAAGATAGTCTACCCCTGTCGGCTTCTACCTTCCACCAGTCTGTGAGTATGGAGGCCAAGGACCCGGACAGCTCTGCCAAGAGCGATGCTCGAGTCACAGTCTGCACTGGTCATTCTGGTTCACAGCTTAATAGCCCTGTGATCCTAGCCAGTGACATGACTTTTTCCCCTTCCTCACCCTTCAGACTGCATCCATCTTACAAGTTTCATGGACATGGACTCACCATTGCAAAAGTTACAGCAGTACCTGACACATGCAGCGTGCATTTATTGTCTCTGTCACAGGATCAGACACACATGCTGGCCTCGGAAGCTGATGGTTGACTCAGTCAGGTTACCTGTGAACTGAACTGATTTGAATTGATTAAACTAGTTAAATATTTGAAGTGTGAATTTGAGAATCAAGAGGATATTGTGACTTTCAAAAGGGAAATTTGAAGGAGAGTCAGAAAATTAGGTAAAAACTGTTAAGCGATGAGGGCATGGTTATAAACAGCCAAATGATTCAGTGGGATATAAGTTCCAATGGTTTTCTTATTTATTTCAAATTCTTTATTACTTCAATCCTTTGCAATTTATTGGGGTTTATTTTAGGGCCATCAGATGGTCTACCTTGAATGTTTCATGTGTAGTTGCAAAAGTACATCCTGTAGCAGTTGGATGTAGTGTCTTATGAATGCCAAGATAGCTCATCATAATGCTGAAATATTCTCTTTCCATACCAAAGTCTATCTGCTGGCTCTGTCTCTTACTGAATGAAAAGCCGTTAACTGTAGAGACTTGTTTGTGGCTCCTTAGTTCTGTCTGATTTCTTCCATGTGTTTTAAAGATCTGTCATTAGGTTTAGGTATATGTATATAGTTTCTTGTATGCTTTTATGATGAATTGACCCTTTTCTTATTATAAAATCACCGTATTTATTCTTGCTTTCATAAGTATACTAGAACTTTAACAAAGCCATAAACATTTTTATGCTTACATTTCTTTCCCGTTGCTTTCACCATGGTCATATATTTATGTCTCTGAATTTAATATGTCCTGCTTACAAACAACATGAAGTTGGTGCCATCCCTGCTTCTTACAGTCCTGTGTTTAATTGGAATCTTCTGTGCATTTACACTTAATGTAAATAGCATAAATTATTATTTATGAATTTACATGTAAATGCTATTTGTTTTCTGTTGTCCTCTCTGAAATTTTTGCCTTATTTAGCAAGCAAAAGTATTATCTATCTGCCTTTTTGGGGACCAAAAAAAAATTTTTAAAAATCCTCCTCCTTTAGGTCTATAAATTTGCAAGTGAAAGTAATTTAATACTTATATTAATATTAAT